CTGTGGATATCCAGGGCTCATGTATGCGATTACTAACAAGCATAACTGAATACTCAGATGAGGGACAGTTTGCTATGTCTGGAGTTTTAGTCTTGAAAGGGTGTTTGCCTTGAGGGAAGCTGACCACTTGCCTTGATGGCTCCCAGGGGAACAACTTGTTTGTTCATGTAGTAGTCAATCAGACTGCTGTTATTGTTTTTAATTTTTCCTGCTGGTTTTTCTTTCAAGAAGTATCTTCTGTTCTTCTAGCTGCTCCAGGCTGGTCTGCTCGTCCTTTCAAGTGGCAATGTCCCACCTCAGAAGATTGTGTATCAGTGACTTATTTTTTTGGAAGCAAATCACCATTTGCTGCAAACATTTCAGTTAGCAGTGGCATGTGCCTGTGTTAACTGTTTGTACCACGCAGATAGTCCAGCTAAATCTTGTCGTTGTTAAGTGCCATTGAGTCAGTTCTGACCCAAAATGACCCTGTATAAGGTTTCTGAGGAGTGGCCGGTGAGCTTGAATCTTGCAGTTCAAACTGACTTTGTGGTCCAGCGCATTAACCACAGCACCACACCAACGGTCCAAGCTAAGCTTTATAAGATGCTAAATACTTACTAAGAAGTAGTCTGAACACATCCAGGAAGGTCATTCCAGACAAAGAGATCAGCACCATGAACAAAATTATGAGGCACAGAAAACAATGGCAAGTAAGGGTGTGGCACTGGAAGATAAACACTGGACCACAATGTCGATTTGAACTGCAGGTTCAGCAGTTCAAACCCACCATTCACTCCTCAGAAACCCTATACAGGGTCATTATGAGTCAGAACCTACTTAACAGTAAGTACTTAACAACAATAAATGTTACAAACTGCTCTGGCATATTCAGATCAGTATTGATAAAAAGTAGAATAGGGCATCAGATTATAAAAACCTTTGGTTACTCCCACCAGTCAAATGCTAATTCTATCAATATTTATTGAGGGAATCCAGGTAGCATAGTGGATTATGAGCTGGGCTGCTAACCACAAGTTTGGTACTGAATCTACCAGTCGCTCCATGGAAAAAAGATGAGGCTTTCTGCTCCCGTAAAGGTTTACAGCCTTAGAAATCCTAACCAGGGTTGTTATGAATAGGAACCAACTTGGAGACACACTACTACTACCACTATTATGGTCCAAAATATAAAATGATATGTTGTTGTTGTTGTTAAGTGCTATTTTTTCAATTCCAACCCAAAGCAACCCTGTATAGGGTTTCCGATGAGCAGCTCATCATGAACTTGAATCACTGACCTTTTGGTTCAAACCGGCATTGCAATCCAGAAAAGTAACCCACAGTTCCACAAAATGGTATATTAAGTATTATTGTCATTGTTGTTATGTGCCGTGGAGTCGGTTCCAACTCACAGCAACCCTGTACAGGGTTTCTGAGGCTATAAATCTTTACGGGAGCAGAAAGCCTCATCTTTCTCCTGCGGAACAGCTGGTAGTTGCAAACTGTTGACCTTGCGGTTCACAGCCCGATTTGCAACCACTACGCTACCAGAGCTCCTTATTAAATATTATTACATGATACTAAAAACAGACACAATCTGCTCTCCTAGAAGCTTACAGTCTCATCCATGGTTAGAACAAAGACAGGATCTCATTAACTACTGATCCCTCACCATATCTAATATACAGTATCTCTCATATAGTAGGAAATTACTATCTAATTGAAATCTTCTATTTTAAGACAGATGATTCAGCATAAATAAGTTGAAAGGGGTGGGGAGGGAAATCATACTGTACCTCTTTACAACTGGAGAAAAACACAATGCTCTTCTTCTTCAGATGGCTTCTCATAAAGGAATATAGTACACTTATTTTTTGCTGCAGCTCACAAACGATGTAGTTCTGTTCCAAAGTGGCAGGGGTGCTTGTGTAATTAATAGGAGCAAAAGCATTAGATAAGATTAAAGAGATGCTATATTAGTCCAGACCAAAAATAGAAACAACAGTTAAATTTTTTAAAGTAGCACATCTCTCAAAAAAAATCCTCCTTTGTGCAAAAAAAAAAAAAAACCAAAAACACACTTCTCTTTCCTATTGTCCTTTGGGATATAAACTCAACACATGACTAGAATACATCTTAAATTCATTATAGAATATACACATGATACAAATGGAATGATAAAGGCTTCTGAGATATTATCAAACACCTTAAGGGAATAAGTTGTTGGGTGTATGGCCTCAAGACACCATGGGGACACCATGGTCAACTGGTGTAACAGTCAACAAAACAATATTCTACATCCTACTTATTAGGTGAGTAGTGTCTAGGAGTTTAAAACCTCATGAGCAGACATCTAAGTGGTTTACAGACACAGCTACTGGTCTCTCTGTGTGTGAAAATGAAGAGTGATAAGAACTGAAGAGGCTTGAAATAAATAATTCAATGGACTAACAGACCATGTGAACATTAGACTCCATGTCTCTGAGACCAGAAGAACTAGACAGTGCCTGGTTATCACTACCAACTGCTCTGAAAACGATCCAATTAGAGGGTCCCTGATAGAGTGGGAGAAAATGTAGAACAAAACTCAAAATTATTTTATAAATTTTTTAAAAAGACCAGTCTTACTGATCAGAAAGAGCCTGAGATTATGGTCCTTGACCACCTTTCAGGTCTAGAAAGGAACCCACCTTCGTGGTCCAATATTTAGCTAAGCAGTAGACAGGTATATAGGAGGGACTAGTAAAGTATGCTCACCATTGAAAGGTGATCATTCAAAAATCAAAAGGGCAACCTTTATCTAAGGACAAAGTTGAGAAGGGATGGGAAAGTGGGCTGAACAGAAACAGGAATCATAGGAAGGAAGTGGAATAACTTGTTACATGGAGGGGATTGCAATCATTGAAATAAAATAAAGTGTATGATTTGTTGAATGTAAAACTGATGATCTTGTCTGCAAACCTTCATTCAATTGACAATAAAAAGCTTAAAATAAAATAAGTATTAGTTGTGGTTGTTATGTACAGTTGAGTCGATTTCAATCCATAGCAACCCTATATACGGTTTCCAAGAAGCAACTGGTGTGTTTGAACTGCCGATCTTGTGGTTCAAACTGACCTTGCAGTCTAGTGCATTACCCTGCAGCACCACACCAGGACTCCAAATAAATACCCCCACCACCCCAAGGAAAAAAACAACACAAGGAAGTTGCTTCTAGAAGAGCAGGGTTAGGGGCTGACTGTGCAAAGGCATAAGGAAGTTCACAGTGCTGATGGCAGTGTTCTACATTTTATGAGAGGGTTAGGTAACAGAAGTATGCTCATTTGTCAAAAATCTGTAAATATACTTAAGATTTATACATTCCATCATACGAAGATTTTACATAAAAAGTACTAAACTCTAGTTAGGGAGAAGTGTACAGATGCCTGCAATTTACTTTAAGATGCATCAAAAAATAAGATGGGATGATGTCTGGCTAGAGGGATGGATAAAAGGATGCTGATAATAGATAACTAATTCATAATAAAATGTTAGAGAGAAATACATATGAACAAACCCACTGTTAAGATTCTATTCTTAAAAATGCAGAAAGATACAGCATTATTTATAAAGCAAAAATGATGAAAAATAACCCAAATGTCAGCCAAGAAGGAACTCTGAAAGTGAATTTGCATATCAACCCAATTGAGTACCATGCAATTGTGGGGGAAAGAAAAGCGTATCTACTCATAATATAAGGACCTATGGTAGCGTAGTGGTTACGAATTCGGCTGCTAACCTTAAGGTCAGCAGTTCGAAACTACCAGCTGTTCCGTGGGAGAAAGATGAGGCTTTCTGTTACCGTAAAGATTTACAGCCTCAGAAACCCTGTGCAGGGTCACTATAATATAAAGGGGTTTCAAAGCATTTGTGAAAAAACAGAATCAGAAGAAAATAATTTTTTTTTCATAAATGTTTTGAAGATCCTTGTATATAGCTGTTATAATATCAAAGCACTTTTAAACATCAACAAAATACACACACACACTTTTACTAGTACATAAACATTCACGTACTATTCTTCAGTTTTTAGTATAGCTAAAACAAAATAACAGCTGCCAGAACAATTTTAAACAGAAGAATAAACTACTAAAATATTAGTGCATTTAATAAAATATGTAGACAATGATTCCATAGCAAAATATTTTTCAGAAATGCAGCAAGTTATATCTACTTCCTAATACTTTGGCTAGTCAATGCTCACAGACATACTAAAGATTCTGAAAATCTTAGTGAAAAAAGTTTCACTTTAAATCACCATTTGCTACTTATGTACCCAAGGAATGTTCTCCCCTTCAACTGTGGAATGCAGGTTGGTAAATGGTAAAACACCTGATAACATCCAACAGAAAAAAATACTTGCTCCCTCAGTCACATTTTGGAAAATGCTGCTTTAGAGTATTATCCTATATGGTATATCCAGAATTTTAATATGCATTTAATATATAATAAGCCTAGAAAATTGTGGGGGTGGGGGGAGTGCTAGAAAATATCAATTTAAGATATCAAATTCATAAACTAAAAAAGAGAAGACTGACTTTAAAAAAAAGAATCAAATATGTTTTCAAACAGTACATACCTGTATTTTGCTTTTTCATGAACCCACACATACTCAGGGTTTTTCAAACTCAGGCGTGCAAGGTCTTTTACAGACTTGGTTTGTGTTGCTGAGAAAAGCAAAGTCTGACGTTTCTTAGGAAGATTTTCAATAATAGCATTCACAGTATCAGCAAAGCCCATGTCCAAGATTCTATCTGCTTCATCAAGCACTAAAAACAGAAAACAAGTATTGAACTAAAAACAGAAAACAAGCATTTAACATATGCATCAGAGTAAACACTTATGTGGTATCTTGTAAATACTCTAATAGAAAAAGGACATTAGTGGGAAAACTGATGAAATTCTAATAAAGTCTGTATTTTAACTTGTAGTGATATGGCAATGTTAAACTTGTAGTTTTGATAAAGATACCATAGTTATAAAAGATAATAACATGTTAAGGATATTTTAGGAAAGGGTTTATGGCAATACTCTACATTATCATTTTAACTGTTCTGTAAATTTAAAATAGGCCAATAAAAAGTTATTTTTAAAAATACACATTAAGTAATATCACCAAGCAGAAAGGGAAAAGTTCACCAAAAATGCCAATGTGACCTTTCAAGTTACCATAAGGGGATCTCACTTAAAAAATCCTTTAGAAATCCATTGCCATCAAAAGATATCCGAGTAGGCAGACATGCTGAGCAGACCCTTTGCAGCAAGCACAGGGGAGACGAAGTGAAACAGATACAGATGGTGATCCTGGAACGCTGACAGACAGGGGAACTGAGTGTTGGCTAGAAGAGAAAGCTGAGCAGGAACAGCGAGAGAGGAGAAAAACACGTGGGCTGTCGGTGGGCATGGAGCAACGAGACCATCTTGAGCTTTTGCTAGCAACTGTTAATAAAGTAGCCATCAGGCACAGAATACAGCTGGAGGTCCATGTCCTTCTGGTAGCCGGGGGCATGTCCAGTTCCTGCCCTTGCCAGTGGCACCCGCTTCTGCACAGCCTTGGAGGTCAAGAGTGGAAGTGCCACTCTGCTCCTGGAAGCAAACGAACCCACCCTAAACTATACTACACAAACAAAGAACTACTTTCACACTTCCAGTCTCTATCACATCCGCCAGGAGAAAGTGGTGAGTGCCTGAGAACACACCAACCTACAGTCGCCAATTAAAACATATATACATGACACCACAACATCTCAGAGAAAACAGATCATCTCAGCTTGCACAAAGACACAAGACAAAGTGTCTCAGCAAACACAATACCAGAAATACATGGAAAGCAAGAACACAGAAAAAAACTTCACAAAAATTCAGGAAAACACTGTAAGAACAAACTGACAAAAGATATGAAACATTGGAAATTATACAAAGCCAGTAATTAGAAAGCCAAAAGAGTAATACTAAGAATTCAGATAGTATAATGAAAAAGGCAAAGTAGTACAATTGAAATCAATGAAAGGCCAAATTATGGAGCTTGAACACAAATCTCTCAATAGTCATCTGCTAAAGGAACAATCAGAAAAAAAAAAGAATTAAAAAATTGAAAAAACTAAGAGTGATGAGACAAAATCAAAAGGAATAACTTCTGTGTGACAGGAATTCCAGAACAGGAAGAGACAAAAAAAACAAACAAACACACATATAGAAAAAAATTGTCCAAGAATTATTGGAAGAAAATTTCTCTAACGATCAAAAACAAGATAGCCAATCAAGAAGTTAAATAATTCCAAACAGGATAGACCCCAAAAGAAAATCACCAAGACATATTATATATTATAATCAAACTTTTCAAAATTAAAGAAAAGGAAAAACTGAGAGGAGTTGGGGGAAAATGAAAAGTTAGCCACAAAGGAAAACTACTAAGACTAAGGTCTGATTTCTTACCTGAAACCACGAAGTCAAAAAGAAACTAGAATGGCATATATAAAATTCTGAAAGAAATAACTGCCAACCAAAAATCATATATCCAGCAAAACTGTCTATTAAATATGACAGTGAAATTAGGACATTTCCAAATAAAGAAAAATTAATTTGTAATATCAGACCACTTTATAAAAAAAAATAAACCTAACTGTAACACTAAAACTATACCAAACCTTACTCCTAGCCATAGCTCAACCCGTACCCCTAACACTAGTCCTAACTCTAACCCTAACAGTAAACAAAGTCCTAGGCCTAGCCTAGACTTAGCACTAGCCTAGACTTAGCCAGTCTTAACCCTAACTCCTTACTCCGACCCACCCCTCCAAAAAACGAAAAACTACCAGAGTTAATTACAACTCCAAGTGACCCCTGTGCATCAGAGTAGAATTTGCCACCTGCTTTTGTTGTTGTTAGGTGCCATCAAGTCAGTTCCAATCTATAGTGACCCTATGTACAACAGAACAAAACAACGCCTGGTCCTGTGCCATCCCTCAGCATTGCTGCTTCACTTGAGCCCACTATTGTTGCAACTGTACCAATCCATCTCATTGGAGGTCTTCCTCTTGGTCACTGTCCCTCCACTTTACCAAGCATGATGTTTTACTCCTGGGACTGATCCCTCCTGATAATGTGTCCAAAGTATTAGAGATGAAGTCTGGTCATCCTGGGTTCTAAGGAGCATTCTGGTTGTACTTCTTCCAAAACAGATTTGTTTGTTCTTCTGGCAAAGTGGCAGAAGCAATGGGCTTAAGTGGAATCATTTTGAGGCTGGCACAGGACTGAGCAGTGTTTCATTCTGTTGTGGGTCAGTGTGAGTTGGAATCTATTCAACGACACCTAACAAAAATAACAATTACTCAGATTGTTCTTAACCACATCATTTATCAAGAAAGCATTTTTGTTACAAAATTTGTAAGTCTCTCTCTTAAATTTGAGGGTTTTCACTAGAAATTCATTAGACTCACCTAACATCTGGAGATTGGTAGCATGAAAACATATTGTTTCATCCATGTGTTGAAGAAGCCGACCAGGTGTGCAAACAAGGATATTTATGTTATTGATCCTCTCAGCTTCATGTTTTAGATCCTAAAAAAAAGTTGTTTCTTTAGAATACACAGACATATCACTCTAAGACTATTAAAAGGTGTATGTGGCATTCCATCATAGCAGGTTATATACTCTAAAAATAAACCTAATTTCTGCAGCGCATACAAATTTCTGGGCTAAAGAAGGTCCTTACTGTAGACCTAAGAGCTCAGAGGTCCTCCAGATTCTGAATCATAGACAGCACTCTCAGGCCAAGAAAAGTATTTTTCTGTCAAAACTAATTAAGAACCTGGGATTACTTCCACTTTCTAAAAAGTTAGGAGCCCTGGCACCACTTGCTGTACCTTGATGAACTGAAAAAAATAGCTGAGCACTCCACAGAGTAGCCATTCTGTCCTTGAAACAACAAGTACTGAAAATAATTCATTATTAAAGCTAGGTAATAAGCTCACGCGTATGTGAGAGTTTGCGATGCTATTCTTCCTTCGTGTAAAGTCAAGTGTTTACTCCCATAGTCTAGAACAGACTTTCACAGATGTAAGCACTCCAGGTGTACTGGAAGGCAGAACAAAAGGTGAACAGCAGACTTAACCATGGCCTAAAATAAGCATTCCTCAAAACTATCCACCTTTCTTCCTTCTGCTACTGACAAAACATTGCCCTGAATTATCCAACTTCTTAGATACCTCATTAAAAGGAAATAGTCAACAAATTAAAATGACATCTTTCCCCATGGATATTAACAATAGATTTACAGACTGATTAGGGTACATTAGTCTCAATGAAACTGATCAATTCCAGATACTCTGACAAAATGGATTTTTGGGCTTGTGAAACTGACCACCAGACTCTAAATGACAGTGACCACACCAAGATGCTACCACCCCATAAGGACCTGTGTAGGAGACCAGGAGGCCAGCTACACAAGGCTCCAACACAGGTTATAAAGGGAAGGAAGACAAAGGGTTAACCTTTCCACCAATGATGAGACCAGCTGAGAAGTCATGATTCTTCCCCACTTTTCGGAGGACCTCAAAGGTCTGATAGGCCAGTTCTCTCGTAGGTGATATTATCAGAACCCCCAAGCCATCTGCTGAGGTCCACTGCAGACGATATAAGGCTTCCAGCACCTCAAAACGGAAAGAAAATAAGTGATTAATATACCCTCAGGGGAGTCATTAAGGAGCTCTGGTAGCGTAGTGGTTACGAATCAAGCTGTGAACCGCAAGGTCAGCAGTTCGAAACTACTAGCTGTTCCGTGGGAGAAAGAGGAGGCTTTCTGCTCCCGTAAAGATTTACAGCCTCAGAAACCCTGTACAGGGTCGCTATGAGTTGGAACTGACTCCATGGCACATAACAACAACAATAGGGGAGTCATTGCATTCTGAGCCTCAACCTTTTCCCTCCAAAACAAAGGCACCTTCCAAGCTGAAGGAATAGCATATACAGTTTTATCAAAATTAGCTATTATATTCTAACTCATAGAGACCCTATATAGGACAGAGTAGACCTGCTTCTTAGAGTTTAAGAGATCGGAAATCTTTTTGGGCGCAGACAGCCTCATCTTTTTCCCATGCAGTGGTTGGTGGGTTTTTTTGCTTTCTGTCATCCACCAGAAGTGACCACCCTAACCCACAGAGAGAAGGAAAAAGTAGCCAGTCCCACGGCAGTCCGTCTGTTGCCAAAGCCACACCATCAGAAGACTGGTTCGGGCAGCCCACAGGCAGTTACAGTAGATTGAAGAAAAAAATTGTCATCACCATTTTCTAAACAGAAACCACATTAAAATGAACTTTATTCTGTGTAGCTGCTGTGGCTGAATTCTCTAAGAGGGGGGACATTTCATGAAAAAAAAAAAATCTAGGATTAAGAAAAATAAATGGTTTTGCATTACTTGGCACAGAAACTAAAATGTGATTATTCTGGGTGAATTACTTTGTAGTAATTATTAAAAATTAGAACATCAACAGCATAACTGGGGTGCAGGAGCTGATGAGTCTTTCTTGTTTTACTGCTAAAAGGACAACTAACAATGTCCCAGAAACTTCTCAAACAGAGACCAAATCTCCTTAAAGTAAGCATACTTTCATGGTCTTCAAAATGGTTCACTCTGGTTTGACTTCTGCTGAAAATTTTAGTTCCACCTCAGATATACGTGGGGACATCAAAAAGTTCGTGATAAAATGGCATTAAAAGCCAAAAGTACAAAAATAAACTTAATTTCTCAAAACAGATTGCATCAAAGTCAAGATGCTTTTGTAAGCAATGATACCAGCCATTTAGTCCATCCCTAAAGAACTAAGGGTCTTGGGAATTTAACCATGTCAATGCATTCATTTGTATATTATTAACTGAAGAAAAACAGGTGCCCTTTAAATTTTTTCTTAAGATCAGGAAACAAAAAGAAGTCAGAAGCAGCCAAATCAGGACTGTATGGTGGATGTCTAAAATTTCCTGCTGCAACTCTCACAAAGTTGCCCTTGTTTGGTGAGAGGAATGGGCAGATTTGTCCTGGTGGAGGAAGACGCTGGTGAAGCTGTCCAGTTTTTCTGCTAAGGTTTCGGCTAACTTTCTTCAAACATTCTCATGTCACCTCAGATGTTATCATTCTTTGGTTCTCCAGAAAGTCAACAAGCCAAAATGTCTTGCCCATCTCAAAAACTGCTGCCATGACCTCTGCTCTGACTGGATCCACTTTGCTTTGACTGCACCACTTCCAAGAATGCCCAGTGGTGGTGCACTGGGTAAAGCAGTGGGCTGCTAACCATAAGGTAAGCAGTTCAAGCCCATTCAATGAAGAAGAATGATGTCACTGTCTGTGCCTGTACAGATTTATGTTCTCAGAAACCGTAGGAAAAGTTCTACTCTGTCATATAAAGTCACTATCAGTCAGAACCGACTTGACAACAATGAGTAATAGACCACTTCCACCTCTTGGCAGCCATTGCTTTGACTGTGCTTTGTGTTCAGGATCATACTGGTAAAGCCATATTTCATCTCCTGCTATAATTCTTCCAAGATATGATCCAGAATCTTGATCCCACTTTTTTAAAATTTCCATTGAAAGCTCTGCTTGTCTGCAGCTGATATGGACGTAACAGTTTTAGCACCCATTGAGCAGAAAGCTTGCTCATCTTTAATATTTCATTCAGAACGTGTTTAAGATTAACCAACTAAGATATATATGGTGCTGGCTATTGTTTCTTGTTAATCACTGGCCCTTTTCAATTAGAGAAACAAAATTGTTTCCTTACAAATGAATGTGGATGTTCTGCTGCTGCAGATGTCTTCTTCAATATCATCTCTTTCCTTCTTAAAACATTTGTAAACTGCTGATTTCTTTGGGAAATTGTTCCCATTAACTTATTATAAAGCATCAAGGATTTCATCATTCTTCCATCCAAGTTTCACATACACTTAATATTTGAAGTGTATACATGTTTCATTGAGAGGGGATCTTTTCAAGCTCATATCCTAATCTTCTTAGTGCCCCAAACGAGATCTTGTTCAGGTATGTTACAACAATTTAGTATGAGTCTATTTTGTTGCAAAATTTTTTTTTAAATCCATGCATAGTTTTTCATCATACCCATTTTCTGTGAACTTTTTGAAGACCACTTGTACTGAATCAGAATCTACATTTTAACAAGATTCCCATAAGATGTGTAAAGAAGAATTACCCGGGAATTTATCAAGGAGGGATCACATTATTATGATTCTGATTCAGTATATCTGAGGTAGAATTAAAATTCTCAGTAGGGATTGAACCAGAGTGAAGAGGTTCAAGTCCTGCATACTTCAGCTTAATCCTATAGAGTTGACAAGCGTCAATATAACTGGCAGCAGGTCTTCAAGGAGGAAACAGGAACAGCTGTTTTCCCCACCAGTCTTACTGCAGAGTGGTAGTGGTGGTGTGCCAGGGAGTTGGTTCTGACTCACAGAGACTCTGAATAGTGTTTCCAAGGCTGTAAATCTTCACGGGAGCAGAAAGCCTCATCTTTCTTCTGCAGAACGGCTGGTAGTTTCGAACTGCAGACCTTGAGGTTAGCAGTCCAACTCAGGACCACTATGCTACTAGAGCTCCTTTTAAAGCAGAGTAAAACCATTTAACCTGTCACAGGAAAATGCCCATGCAACAAGACTATAGAAGAACTCATGCATTTGAATTATGGTGTTGGAAACGAATATTGAAAGTGCCATGGACTGCCAGAAACAGCAAACAAGTCTGTGTTGGAAGAAGTACAGCCAGAATGCTCCTTAGAAGCCAGGACAGTGAGACTTTTTCTCTTACTTCGGACATATTGTCAGGAGGGACCAGTCCTTGGAAAAGGATATCATGCTTGGTAAAGTGAAGGGTCAGCGAGAAAGAGGAAGACCCCCAACAAAATGGACTGCCACAGTGACAGCAGCAATGGAGTTCAGCATAACAACAGCTATGACAATGGCACAGGACCGGACAGTATCGGGCAGTGTTTCATTCTGCTGTGCATAAAGTCACTATGACTCGGAACTGACTCAACGGCATCTACAGGACTTGTCAATACATTCATTCATTCAGTAAGTTACTGAGTGTTTGCCTTGTATAAGGCACTGTGTGAGGACCTAGACAATATTTGATGAAAAAGATAGATGTGTCCCCGTCTACGGAGCCTTCCATTCTATTTAGGAAGTCCAACATGAAACAACTCTTCACATATTGATCTGCACCTATGTCAAGGGCCATAAAATAGAATTCATAAAGTTACATAATGGAGAACCTCACCCAGTGAGTAAAATACTTACTGGAACAAGGAAAGCCAGAGTCTTGCCAGATCCAGTTTTGGCAGCTCCAAGCACATCTTTACCTTGTAAAGCCAACCCAATGGTCTGCTTCTGTATCTCAGTCACCAAACGGTACTGGGCTTCCTGCAAACCTGGCAATGTAGAGGCAAGGAGAATGATACTTTAGAAAATCCCTGCAAAAAGGTGTCACATTTTGATTCCGTATTTACTTTAACTAACACAATTAGGTTTTGCTTTAATTATTCAAAGGTTCCTACCATCTTGTATGAAAGTGCTTCAAAAGTTTGTGGAAAAATTAAATTATCTTTTCATTTCATTTTCCACGAATTTCTGAAACCCCCTCATATTTCCACTACTATTCTTTCACCTACTTAGAAAGGATGAGGAGAATGATAAATTGGTAAAATTCAATGAACTGATATTGTTTCTGGCTACAGGCTCCCATCAGCTCAAAATAATTTGCCAAATTAAGATTTTTCAGATTGCACTCTCTCTGAACCCTCTGCCATTTATTAAAAACATCAAGAAAATAAATAACATGTCACAGAATCACCATGTACCTACCTTTCAATGTTTTTTTGGACAAAGGGAAATCTGAAAATCTTGTAATTTCATTTACATTTATCTAGGAAAGAAAAGAGGGAAATGTGTCCAATAAGACAAAAGCATAACCTACTATACAATTCATTTGTTTCACAACAAAACCATTTACTTCTTGACATAAAACTGTGTTGCCTAGTTCATCCTGGAGACTGCAAGTTCACTCAGAATTCAATCATCACTTCTAATTCAAAACTATCATTTATCCTGAAAGGAAAAATGCCAAAAGGATGCTGTCTTGAATCAAAAATATGAAATTCATAACCATTTCAATTAGTTTTAAAAATTGCTCTCGCTCTTACAAACCCACCACACATTACCACCTTGAGTATGGTTCACCTCCAGAATGTTACTAACAAAACAGTAAGTCCTCAGTATATCAATTTTAGAAAGAAAATTACTTTCAGCCATCGTTTAAGAGATAACAATCTAAGAAGTAAGGGAAGAAATTACTACAAATCGCAGACCAGGATGACAATAGTTCTATTTACAAACTTTGGAGAACAAACTAAAATTAGTCAGTTGTATATCTTGCCAGCACAAGCCTTTCAAAATTTTCACCATAAATGCACTGACATGTGAAATTGAACCTGACAACATCTCATTTTGGGGTATCCTGAACAAGAGGTTATTATTCCACAATAATCAGAGAACATGTCTTTGTCAGGCTCCAAAGCCACAATAAGTACCATTTTGCCCTTTAACTTTACATTAACTAAATATTCATTACTGAGGTTCCTTATTAGCATAAACCCAATTTTATGAATTTCATTCTGGCTGCTCAAGAGAATTATTCTATTACAGATGCTGAAAGCAGAAACTACTGCTCAGATCTGGGAATGTGCTGCCAATTTATTCATGATTCACAAAAGACGAAGGCTGCATTTGTAAGGTTCGTTTATTTAAATTACACTCCAGGCAGCAAAGAGACTACAGCTTGTATTTCATTTGACAATCTACACATCTTTACCAAGGTTCTTGTGAAGCCCAGGCACGGTTACTCTCTGCCCTCATATACTAAAAAGACAAATACTAAAAAACACTGCCTGAATCCCTACAAATCATACCAGGTAACACTGGGGAGTCAGCAGAGTCACAGTACTAGCATTAGAAGGAGAACAGTTCATTCAAATAACACCCTGTCCCAACAAAGAACCTCAACTAGAAGATAATCTCTCAAACCAGACATTAAAATTAGGTGCAGTCCAACCTTGTACTTGTATCTATAGGGAATGGAATATTTACAGATGGAGACAGACTAGCTGCACACACTTCCATCCCCAACAGAGGCACAACAGCAGTAAAATCAGCCACTCAAATGAAATACCCCATCATCTTTCCAAAACCTGTTGACCACCTAGAGGAGAAGTTTACAAGACTGAAACTATAAGCTCTATTTCCTGGGATAATATAAAGCTACACTCCGTAGTCTTAAAATAAAAGAGGCCACCAAAGAAACAAAAGGAAATTGGGATTCTTCTGATGCTTTAGATTATGGTCCATGGACCAAATTCAATTTGCTGCCTGTTGTTATAAATAAAGTTTTACTAGAGCAAAGCTATTCATTTAAAAAATGTCTACAATGTGTGACAGAGATCATATGACCCACAAAGCCCAGGATTGACTATCTGCCCTTTTACAGAAAAAGTTTACCCTAATCTGGAAGATCCATAACTACATTCAAAGGAATACTCAAAAACCAAATCTGAAGATGGGAACAGTTCCTTACATACAAAATAACACTCTTTTCCTCCTCCTTATTCCTTCGGCTCCTTAATCACCATGGTAGTAGTGGTGCTGTGCTTTGGAGTCAGTTCCAACAGATAGCAACACTGCACAGGGTTTCCAAGGCTATGCTCTTTATGGAAGCAGGAAGCCTCATCTTTCCTAGTCCCCCTAACACCTGTATTATCGTGCCTCTTGATTCAAAGAAATGATGTTTCAGTGATGCTTTTTATTACTTGTTTCTGTTTTTATTGAGTTGATTCTGACTCATAGTTAGACTTAGTCCTTATTAAAGACTTTGCTAACCACAGGGGTAACTATTCAAACCCACCAGTCACTCCTCAGAAACTTTATACAGGATCACTGTGTGCCAGAACTGACTCAACAGCACTTAACCACCTTACTGGAAAAGAGAGTGTGAGGTCAATAACACTGGTGGTGGTGGTGGTGGTGATGTGCTACGGAGTCGATTCTCACTCACAGCGACCCTGCATAGGGTTTCTGAGGATGCAAATCTTTACAGAAGAAAGCCTCATCTTACTCCCACAGAACTGCTAGTAGTTTCAAACTGCTGACCTTGAGATTAGCAGCCTGACTCATAACCACTATGCTTCCAGAGCTCCTTAGATAATACTCACAACCCTCTTTTATATCTTATAACCCTCTCTCTTGTAATATCCATTTCTCACAAAATGAATAATGTCTTTACATCCTAAAAGCAGGCTGAACAAATCTGTCATGGGAAAAGTATAGCCATAATGTTTCGTAGAAGCAAACATGGCAAAACTTCATCTTATATATTTGGGACATGTTATCAAGAGGGACCAGTCCTGGAAAAGGCCATCATTCTTGGTAAAGCAGGGTTTACCATTGAGATGGATTGATAAGTCTCAGACATAGCAACAACTGTGAGGATGGAATAGGACCCGACAGGATCACTATTAGTAGGAACTACCTCAATGGAAGCGTAGTGGTTAC